GGGGCGAGTTCTGCAACCTCCACATCTTTATTTTAAGAACTCGTTCTCTTTTAAATTGCAGTCAGGACGGATTTCCCCACCCCTCTCCCAAGCAAACCACAGGCCACCCAGACGAGCTCTATTTGCACATTTTAAGGAAGAAAATAAAATAATAACAATAATGAAACCACAACATCTTTTGTTTTCGATGGTGCTCAGATGCATCTCTTAACAGAGCAGCTGTGCTTCTGTGGCATTTTTTAAAAAAACAACTTTCAATCTAGTTTTGAGGCATTTTAAATTTCACTTCAGCACTGAGGTTTCTTACCCAACCAGCCCAGGAAGGCAACTGAACTTGCCGTGCCTATCTCGAGTTTAGGGTTTGGGGCTAATTAAATTCATCTCCAGGGGTTTCTAGCTCCTTGTTGCAGATGTTGTCGTTTTAAGCTTTGACTTTCCTCCTGGAAAGTAATCCATCACCTTGGACCCACCATCACTGAGTACACACCCCAGCTCGCTCGCTCTCTCTATCGCTCTCGCTCTCGCTCTCGCTCTCGCTTTCTCCCTCTCTTTTGCACGAAAGGGTTTTCTTGCCCAGCTCCCCGCAGCCGGGACAGAGGTGCTATTTCCAGCAGCTGCAATGGAGGGACGTGATGGGCCCAGGACACCCTGCGCCCTGGGCGAGACGCAGTTAAACCAGCCCTATTTCCAGCCAGAGGACGAGTGACCAGCATCAGGCCACTGACACGCTGCAGTGGAGGCAGGCGTTGCAAGCAAAGGTTGGGGATCCTGGCCGGAGTCCGGTCGGTGGGAGGGCGCGGCCCCTGCAACCTCATGGACCCAGAAAAGTCACTAGCGCGAAAGTGCGTCACTCTTTCTAGGGTCGCTTTCACCTTTGCTGCAATTCCGATTGGACTGGCCCCATTCCAACCGCGGCCCAGGCCCAGACTCCGGGGTCCAGGGGATGCATTCGGGACTCACCCCAGGCCGCCTACCCCCGAAGAAGGCGCGACCCTCGGGGTGGGCGCGGGGTGCAGAACTGGGCGGCCTGCGGGCCCACGCGGTTTATCCCGGGGTGTCCACGACCCGCAGCAGCAGCACTTGGAGGCCAGGTGCGCGGGGCCGGCGGGGGGAAGGCGAGACTGGGAAGTCGGGTTTCCCGCGGATTCCTACCCGAGCGAGCCTCAGGCTCCTTCCTCTCTTATCCAGCAAGGTCTGCGGCTCCACTCTAAAGTGCGCCCCGGCCCGCGCGCCCACGGCCCTCCCAGGCGCTCCGCTTCATTGCGCCCTGGCCGATCTGGAGCTCCCGGA